AAAAAAAAAAAAAAAAAAAAGGAGTAAAAATTTGATTCTCTAGTATATTTGAGTCTCTCTCTTCATTCACCCAGAAGATGAAACTTTTCTTTATTTCTATCTTCACCTTGTTCCCAGAAGGTTTCAGGCAACTGTCCATCTCTGAGTCAGGCAGTACAGTCAGCCAAAACACAAAAACAAGGTGACAGATCTTGACTATTAAGGAAGACAAATAACTCTCCAGGCTTACACCTACTGCTGAGTCACATTCAGTTTGCAAAACAGATTCCTAAAAAACTGAACATGTTGTTTCAGGCATGTGGTATAAAACCTTCTGAAACCTATGGGGAAATAAATATTTACATCAAAATTAAGCTTGGATATTTTTTTTAATTCAAAGCTGAAGCAAAATAAAAAGTATTTGGAACTAAGTCTCTGGGAAGCACAGGATGTTAGGCATTTGAGGGGTAGGGAAGATCCTCTAGCTTCAGGTACAGGGAAATACATGACCAGGTTTGAGGCAGATTTTGTTGAAAAATGTACTGGCTCAGAGCAAAAGCAGAACCCTTGAGAGAAGTCCACAAACTATTTTTGTTCTATAGAAAAGAGAGAAGCTAGCGCTTTCCCCCCAGAATTAAGGGAATTAGGAGCGGCACGGTGGGACTGTTTCTGGTCTGCATGGCTGTGTCATAAAGACATCACCTGCATGTCCTTGACCCTGATGGGGCTGGGGGGTTGGGGGGTGGGGACAGAGTCGCTTACTGGAACCCATGGCACAGGAAGACCCATCTTTAGCAGAACCAGGCACTGGGCCACTTGGGCTGAATGTCTGACCAGGGAGAACCTGGTAAGGTTCAGACTTGGCCCCACCAAGGGCTACGTACTCTCTTTCTATTTTACTTTCTGCCAACAAGTATCTTTCTCTTTAAAATCATCCTTTCCAAATCTACAAACAACAAATGCTGGAGAGGGTGTGGAGAAAAGGGAACCCTTTTGCACTGTTGGTGGGAATGTAAATTGATACAGCCACTATGGAGAACAGTACGGAGGTTCCTTAAAAAACTAAAAAGAGAATTATCTTATGACCCAGCAATCCCACTACTGGGCATATACCCTGAGAAAACCATAATTCAAAAAGAGTCGTGTACCACAATGTTCATTGCAGCTCTATTTACAATAGCCAGGACGTGGAAGCAACCTAAGTGTCCACTGATGAATGGGTAAAGAAAGTGTGGCACATATATACAATGGAACATTACTCAGCCATAAAAAGGAACAAAACTGAGTTATCTGTAGTGAGGTGGATGGACCTAGAGACTGTCATACAGAGTAAAGTAAGTCAGAAAGAGAAAAACAAATACCATATGCTAACACATATATATGGAATCTAAAAAAAAAAAAAAGGTCCTGAAGAACCTAGGGGCAGGACAGGAATAAAGACGCAGATGTAGAGAATGAACTTGAGGACACAGGGAGGGGGAAGGGTAAGCTGGGACGAGGTGAGAAAGTGCCATGGACATATATACACTACCAAATGTAAAACAGATAGCTAGTGGGAAGCGGCCGCACAGCACAGGGAGATCAGCTCGGTGCTTTGTGACCCCCTAGAGGGGTGGGATAGGGAGGGTGGGAGGGAGACGCAAGAGGGAGGAGATATGGGGACATATGTACATGTATAGTTGATTCACTTTGTTGTACAGCAGAAACTAACACACCACTGTAAAGCAATTATACTCCAATAAAGATGTTAAAAAAAATCACCCTTTCCCAATGAACTTATCTACAAAACAGAAACAGAGTCACAGATGTAGAAAACAAACTTACGGTTACCAGGGGGTAAGGAGATGGGAGGGATAAATTGGGAGACTGGGATTGACATATACACACTACTATATACAAAATAGATAACTAATAAGGTCCTACTGTACAGCACAGGGAGCTCTGCTCAATACTCTGTAAAGACCTCTCAGGGAACAAAATCTAAAGAAGAGGGGATACATGTATATGTATAACTGATTCACTTTGCTGTACACCTGAAACTAAAACAACATTGTAAATCAACTATACGTCAATAATAATTTTTTAATTTTTAAAAATAAAATAAAAAATAAATAAAATCACCCTTTCGCTGTCAAACCTTTTGAATTTGACCAACTTCTGCCCCAGGAACCATTAACCAAGAGATTCAGCAAACCAGCCCAGCTCACGCTCCCTCTCTGTCAGATCCTCCAGTCACACCTTGCATTCCCAGTGAGCCCAAGTCATTCAGAGCCCCCAGCGGGCTGGACCATCAAGCAAAGACCCTTCCGTCACCTTCCTCCTGCATCAGCCCCTCCCGCAGGCCAACCCCCAACAAGACCACTCCTCTAGCTCAGGACAGTCACCGTCCTTCCCCAACAGGACAGACTGGGAAGCTCGATGCATGAGACCCTCGGCAGCCACGGTACGAATTCACCAAGCTTCAAATTCTCCCAGCCTGATGTTTGTTGGAAAGGGATTCATTGCTCTGAACAACTCCAGAGGGCAAAGCCCATGGGTCTGGTAGAGCGTGTCAACCCCATTATAAACGTGAAGCAACGGAAACCAACTCAGACACATTGAGTAGGTTACCCAAGGTCACAGAGCTAATGGAATCATCAAGTAGGATGTAAGCCTGAGTTTACACAGGCCACGTTCTTGGCACTGGTCCTCAGCTCTGTAGGAGCATCAGCCGCTGGACCTAGAGGGGACTCCAGGAGCCATTAAGTTTAGCAGCCCACCCAAACCAGCATCCTCCACAGACGGCCACGCCTGCCCCTTGTAAGATGGACACTTTTAGTCTTGGAAACCACTCATGATCAGAAACTTCTGTCACTTTAGGATGCAGCTTCTCCCCCCACTACGTTCCACTCACTGGCCAGACTCCCCCCTGGGGGCAGCTCAGAAGTCCTTCTGCATCTTGCAAGAGTCCTGAGCGTTAGGGCGTCTACACAGGAGAGCGCTGTGGGAACAACATGGCCCTTAGAGTCTGGCAGCGCGAGCGTCAATCCTCCCTTCCTTCTGGGCTAGGTGGATGGTTCAGTGCCTCCGTGAGGCTCGGTCTGCTAGTCTGTAAAGTGGCTGCAGCTTGGCGTGCATCACAGGAGGGCATATGCTATATAAAGAGGTCAGCACAG